GTAGTTTTAGGGAGTCACTGCCTCTCCTGAGAAAAACATTGTGTTAAAGAAGAAAAAATATATTGGATAACAATATCCACCATAGTAAAATACAAAGGCAAAGTACCAGACTGCAAGTGCATGGTTGTTTTATTACTATTTTAGATAAGAATAAATTGTAAAATAATGAACCTACACACAAAAAAGGAAAGCATCAGTTAGTAGCTGGATAATTTAACCAACCTAGATCTTTTGCCTCTGCAAGTGAGCCATGCTTCAGCATAAACCATATGGTAAATTTAGTTCCTCTGATTCACTCTTCATTGGGAGTTACGGCTCTAAACTTAGTGCCACAGGAGGGCCAGTGGCTACTGGTGCTCTGCTGCAGCATTGCCAGTGTGTCAGCTCATGGGTGGAAGATCAACTCAAAGACACACAGTGGGGAAAAACATTTTCCCAAAGCAAATGAAAGCCTGCTTTACTTCACTTTTCACCCAGGCAACGTGAATTCTACAGCAGCTCAGAAAGACTGGTGATGCTTCTCTTCCTAAATTCCCCGATGTTCTCAAGCTTTTGTCTTCAGAGAAGAGTTTGCCTATCTAAATAAAACACAACCTGCTTAAGTCTTTACTTCATACTGTGCATTTCCTGAGAGTCGTTATGCTGTTAGATTAACTTAAATGCGGCACCTGATGGAAAGCTAGATGACAGCTAGAGTGATTCAGTGATGTCCTCAAGTAGGATTGCTGGGAGGATTCCGCCAGGAAGATGTGCAGTAAGGATTTCCCTTGAGAAAAGATGAAGAAAGGCCTTTTTGAGAAAAGAAGGGAGGGAAAAGAAAATATAAGTAGATACAAGGTAAATAAGATAGTTATACTACTGACTTTTTAAATTCATTTTTAAAAAGTTTGCACTTATGCTGTTGGCTCAGTTATGCATGCCTATATTTGTGATCTCAGCAGCTAATTTGAAGATAACAATGAACAATGTATTAACATGTTAATCTCTTATCATGTTTTGAGATTCTCTATTATTGTTTTTGTTGTTTTTTTCTTTTTTATTAGTTTTATTGAGAAAAAATTGCAATGTGACAGCTTTAAGACAGGTTGGTAGGAGAATTACAACAATTAATTCATGGCATATTATTGTCTTTGTAGTAGTCATTCATAGCACAAGATGCAGACACGATATCCTGTCCAAACACTATTAGAACAGATCTTTTTCCTTATTAAGTTAAGAGAAAGTAGCTATATATCTATCCTATTTTGTATATACAGATACAAAATTGTCCTTCACTTATATCACTTTTTTGTTGTTGTTCAGTTTTGGCAGAGATGGGTATTCAAGTGCAGGGGCTGAAGGTTTGATCCCCGGACCTGCCATGCCGGCCCCACCCCCTTTTCTAAAATACAAAAAAAAAAAAATTATTTTTGCTTTTTCTCTCTTTAAAATAAAAAATTAGAAAGATGTTTTCCTGCACTGTGAGCAAATCAGTCTGTCCTGTCCTGTCCCACATTTGAAATCCAGGTTACCAATAGAATGGCTACTCCCAAATTTTGTTACCTGTTAAATAAAATGAAGTTTCATCCTATGTGGCCCACTGTTAGACATTACCCCCTTATGCTAGGCTTTATAGTTTCTGAAGAGTTTTGGGGTCAAGGAGCCAAGGTTTCCAATCAACTATGCTTTGGAGGAGGTACAAGAGTAATAGAGAGTCAGCGATTGTGATTAGTTTTTTTTATTATTATTATTTCCCATATTCCAACTATTTTGCAAACACTGAGCTGGTGTCTAGGGGCAGGGTGGTTAGGGAGAGATGGAGCAATGCTACAACTGTCTGCATAACTCAAGCCAAAACATACTGGAACCCTGGGCCTCTGACTATTCCCAGCAGAGGCATTGTGGCCTGGATTGCCCGAGCAGTAGCTCTTACTTTACAGTTTTATTGTGTAGGCACAACCCAACTCAAGTTATCTTGACCATCCTGCTGGAAGGGTCAAGATAACAAGACTGTTATTATCTGCTCTGCTTTTCATGGAGAGTCTTTGAGACAGAGAGTTTAAAGAACTGATTTGCTCTAAGATTAAACCAGGATCAGTCTGTGGTGGTGGATTTCTTATTTAAAAAGTCAAGAATCAGATCAAGAAATTAACCAGATTCAATCATTATTTTCTCAGCTATCTGAGCAGGATGTTAAACAGCAGAAAAGATACATTTCCCTACTCTTCTATAATACAACCTTAAGTAGTAGGAAAATTAGATCACCAAAGAAGAAAACAAATAACTCCATTTTTAACCCAGTTAACAGTGTCTGAGTTGTTACAATGAAGTTAGGTCTTGACTTGCAACAATCACTAAGCAATTAGGAAGCAAATACTGGGGCCATTCTGTAGCTTACACTCCTACGGCATGAGCAATACATTGGGATCCTGCTGTCCTCCCTAACACCACTAGGGGGTTAGGTTTAGGGTTAGAGTTGGGTATCCAGAGATAAAAGTGAGAGAACCTGGCCGAGGAGATGGCTCAGTAGAATAAGCACTTGCCTGGCAAGTGCAAGGGCCTGAGTTCAATCCCTCATTAAGTGAGACAACCACTTTAGTCAGTCATCTTCTCTTTGGGGTGTGATAGAGAAGTCTTATTTGAGGTAAGACATAGCCTGCTCTCCTCTTTCTTTCTATGTGTGAACACCAGGACAACTCTCGTACAAGCATGGGCCAGGAGAGGTGGTGGAAAGAGACACTGCAGAGCCTGTGCAGAGAGGGGGCTGGAAAGTCAACAGAGACTCTACCTCTGGCCACATCTGAGCAAAAAAGGGAAAGGCAAGCAAAAACATGAAGAAAATCAGCCAGCTTTCTTCCCAGTCACTGCATGTTTTAAAGAGGAAGCAAACATGTTCTCTGAGTTCTCTCCTTGGCCTCTTCAAATAGTCATGAGATGGTCTGTGTGCATTTCATTGTCAGGCCATTCTTGACCTTGGGTACTCAGAGTCATGAATGTTTTGATACCAGATGTAGCCCCTTCAGCTGGGTCAAAGGGGCTGTCATAGGGACAGGGAGTGCGTGCGGAAAGAGCATGCTGGAATATAATTCCCAAGCCTCCAGACGTGCCCAAGAATAACAAGACCATTAACCACTGACCCAAACGCCACTGAAATTCTATCTCCACATCTCCTCCCATCAGTAAACATGAAAATCTCATCCCTGAAAAGCTGAACAAAGTTGCCAATGAGAGGTTCAGGGAGAACGAGAGAAAGAGGAGAAAGGCTCGGTTGGTGAAGAAGTCCAGCAACGTTCACCCTCTTCAATCATTAGAAAACGACCCCCACCCCCCCCAGTGGCAAGTAAACAGAGATGTTTCACTAGCTGGGAAAATCAATGGCTCTGTACTTTTGTAGGATAAATGCATTAAGTTTCCGAGTGAGCTTTTGTCAGTTTTCTTTGGCTGTCTTTATTTCTTCATCCTCATCTCATTTGTTTCTCCAGATCCTTCACTCTACATCAGCCTCAGTGGCCTTTCTGGTTTTCAGAGTATCAAAGATCATTCCTACCATGTAGGACTATGCTACTTGCTGAAATGCAACCCCTAGATCATTATAAATGTTTCTCTTCTCTTGTTCAGATCTTACCTCAAAAGCAGACTTCTCAGAGAGGCTTTTCCTGATCACCTGTCTAATTTTATTTTATCATCTTCTTCTTTCTCCTGTTCTTAGTCACTAGTCTCTAACCTGAGCTTATGTATGTATGTATGTATGTACGTGTGTATGTATGTATGCATATATTCTCTTATTGTTTATTCCTCCCAACGAGATGTATATTCCACAAGAATAGGTCCCATATTTGTGTTTTTGTTGCTGTTGCTCCTAACCCTATCATGTTGTTGGCATTTGTCAATTAGACTGAATTGACAGTATACGGCCATACCACCCTGAACTTGCCCGATCTCATCTGATCTTGGAAGCTAAGCAGAGTCGGGCCTGGTTAGTACTTGGATGGGAAATAGATGGAATTGACAGAGGATGGATAGTAGGATAGAATGGTGGGTGGACACAGATGGTTAGTCAGAAGGATGAATGGATGTTTGATGGACATGATACATGCATGGATGGACATGGGTAGATAGACAGTTGGATGGATAAATGAGTATAAGTAATAATTTTACTTTGTATGTTATCCAGTTTGGCAGGATCTTTTGCTCCACTTCCCATATAAAAGAAACCAAACCAGACAAAAGGACTATAACTGAAGTTAGGTATGAGTTGAAAGTATGAAAAAGAAATTATTACTTGCCAGGCATGGTGGTACATGCCTGTAAATCCCAGCACTTGGAACGTTCAGACAGGAGAATCACTGTGAGTTTAAGGCAAGTCTGGGTTACATAGTAAAATCAAGGCCAGCCTAAATTGCATATTAAAACCCTCTCTCAAAAAAAAAAATTGAAAATTATGACCTGCTTCTAGCTTTAAATGAGTACCTATTCTCTTTAAAAATAGCTCTTTTTGTTTTTATGTACATTGATGCTTCACAAATAAGTCTATAGCTTATTAAGTCTCAGAAAATTCCTAACAGGCAGGCTGAGAGAAGTTTCTTGATGATTTGGCTTTTTAAAGATTGAAAGCTAAAGCGTGTGGTAGCAGAATGAGTTGGAAATACTGTGCTGGTTTAACTCCAGCCACTGGATTTTTTTCTTCCTCCTGAATTTAATATACTTTTATTTATTTATTTATTTATTTATTTTAAAATATATTTAGTACAGGGTCTACAGGGTCCCACTACATAGATCGGACTCATAGTAATCCTCCTGTTTACAGCCTCCCAAGTGCTGGGATTAGAGTCTCAATTGCTGCGGCAGCACGCCCTGGAGGCGGGGCCAGCAAGACAGGCCCAGGGATCAAACCCCAGGCCTCTGCATCTACCTAAGTAGGCGCTTTAATCCACTGAGCTATCTGGCAAGTCTAATGTATTGTTAGGTGTGGCATTTTAAATCATGTGCCTTCTAGTTATTTGTTTGTGTATTTGTTTTAGGATAACCGTAACCTGGAAGGTGACTCCATGGCAGAAACCAGCCTTCCTCTCTCCAAAGAAGTACCAGAGGAGCCCCTTGACCACCAAGCCACACATCAGCCCTTTCCCAGACAGCGATTCCCACAAGAAACTGGGCACCCTTCCTTGCAAAGAGATGGCCCAAGATCCTTTCTCCTGGACTTGCCAAACTTTCCAGATCTTTCCAAAGCCGATATCAATGGGCAGAATCCAAATATCCAGGTAATTTTTGGCAGCCCAAAGGTGGAAGGAATTGAAACAGTCCGTCTTTTGTTTCCTGATCCAGTTTCAGTGGAAACTTCTGCCTTCCTTCGCTTTCTTTCTTAGCCTTTCGATAATTCCCGCTTCTGATCTTCTTACCACCTTTAGAACAGTGCTGTCTTTTTCCTCTATGGCACTCCTGGTTTGGGGGTGCACCATTATTTTATTTTAGAAGCCACTCAAAAAATAAAAAACAACACATATGGCACAGCAAGGATTATAAAATGTATCCTGATTTCAGAGACAAAACAAATAGTGCACCCTGAAATCAATAAGATGTGCTCTGGGAAGGGCCAGTCAGGCCTGTGAATACACTAGGCAGGTCGTGCTAGGGTTTCAAAGCCCTCAGGAAGGTACTTCCTCCCTGTGCATCTAGTTACCTTCCACCTAAATCCCCTCAGGAAGGGAATCATCTTCAGAGTTGCCCTAAAGTGTGAGTGACCAACTAAAAAATAATTAATGGAAGGAGGGGAGGGGAGAATGGATGCTCAAAAAAAAAAAAAAAAACAGGTGAATATTTTCTGCTAAAATGAAAGTGGATGAAACAGAGAGAAATAGAGGTAGGGGAAAGAGTCCCTGGAACTGAAAATAAGAACACTCCTCTGCACCAAAATAGGCCTATTGGCTTCGCAAAGTATTTGTTGACCTGATCTGATTGTCCAGATGCCCTCAGAAAGGAGGCGAAGCAACAGCATTTTCCCAATGCCACAAATAATGCAGCAGGCATCCTGAAAACTACCTTTTGGTTCACCCAAGGTCACATGGCTAGGAAACAGTCATTGTCAGGCTCAAATCCAGGCTCTCAGACTCCCAAGAACACTCAGCCCCCAATCCATTCATTACAAGCAGATTCATTTGGAATGTTGCCCTCACCTCCCTGTTTCTTCCCATAGATGATCGTCCTGATGGCAGAGGGAGGTGCAGCCTCCTGAGCTGTCTTGCCCCTGTGGAGCTCCAGTCCTCATGTACCTGCTTCCATGCTTCTAGTTTTGTTCTTGATTCTTTTCATTTGTAAACATAGCTTATCCTTGTTCTTCCTCTCTGCCCTAGATGCCACTTAGCATAGAGGGCTGAAATCTCCTAACTTGGTCCCAGAGTAGTCAGTCCTTTTGGTTTGGTTTGGTTTTATTCTGTACAGGATCTCACTATACAACTCACACTCATAGTGATCCTCATGTTTCCAGCCTCTCCAGCGCTGGGATTCTAGGCGTGGGCCACCACGCCCAGTCTCAGTGGCCGGCTCAGAAGCTCACTGCTGAGTGGGGCTTTTGAAAGGGATTCTCTGGAGGACAAGGAAGGATGAGGGACAGAGCCAGCTATTGGAGGTCTCATATTTTTCTGGACTCACCTTTGGATACCAAAAACCACCATAACTCCCAAGAGTCAAGGCATCCTCCAGATTCAAAACTCCTGGTTACTGACAGATGGGATCTGAAGCTAATGCAGCTCTATCATAGATACTGTTAAACCCAAAAGTTCGTGAAGTCTAGGCTGACACCTTCCATTTGCCTGACTGAGTTATTCGCTTTCACTTTAGGCTATCCCTGCGTCTGTTAACCCTCTGCGAGGTGTATGGGGGGAGGCAGTCCAGCCATCACTGCATTGATCTGATGATTTCTTGGCTCTAAAACCTGAGTTCCATTTCTGGCCTTCTGATTCTAGAAGGCCACAAAAGGTGAGCACTGGCCATTTTGAAAGATGTTTGAAGAAAGAAGGAGGCAGCTGCTGTCGCTGGGATCCCAGCCCTGTGTCTGTGTGCAAGTGTGAGCACACAGTGCCAGCCACTGCAGCCTATGCCCCGCTGCACTTGAGTAACCCCACTCCCTGGTGGTCCTTTAAAATGTGAGGTGCTTTCTACAAGGAGGGTGATGGCTTCCGTGCTGGCAGCCCTCACTCCTTCCGTAGAGCAATCCTCTTTTGTTGAAATTCACTGGTTTGACACAGGGCAGATTCAGCCAAGCAGAGAGCCTGGCTGGTCACTGTGGGCCCTGTCAAAGCTTCTTCTCTCCCTGGGTAGTCGAGTGAAGACAGGTGAGGGGGGGGTATGGCGGGTGGGGGCTTCCGCTGCCAAGGCCCCTGGCCTCATCTGCTGTCTTCCCTGGCAACCTCCTCCCTTTCTCCTGGCTAGGCCTAAGCAGTTGACCAGGCATGGAGACCCCTTTCTCTGAAGCTCACCCCTTCTCAAGCTCTGGCAGTGTCTCCCACACTCTGGGGCTGTCTTCAGTCCTTCCCATGAAAACAGCTTGTGCCTCTCCAAAGTCGAAGTTCCTGTGAAGCTGGCATCTGTTTGGCTTCTTGCCTTTTATTTTCATTTTTTGTTTTATATTATTTTTCGCTTCTTGCCTTTTAGGTTGGAAAATCCTTCCAAAATCCCCAACATTTGCTTCTGGAGAGCATTTTAGCCCCCACAAGTCAGGCAGCCTCTTCCCCAAGTGAATCATATTCTCCGTTTTAAGAATGGCCTCTAGCTGTGGAAGTGAATGGGAGAAAAAAAAAAAGCAATAATTCATAAAACAGAAATGGCCTCAAACTCCTAAACTGAATTTTATCTCCATGTTATACTTAAAACAACACAAGAAATTGAATTGTTTAAAAAGAAGAAAGAAGAAGAAGAAGAAGAAGAAGAAGAAGAAGAAGAAGAAGAAGAAGAAGAAGAAGAAGAAGAAGAAGAAGAAGAAGAAGAAGA